GTGGAGTGAATGAAGATTTAACATTTCTGTTGGACGAAGTTGTTATTATTTAATTATTCTTGTGAATCGATATTTTTTTAAGAAATGAGTGTCACTTAAGCTATACTGTAAACTTTTAAATTAAAAGTATTTTCTGGGAAGAGCAATATATTCATTGTATAGTATATATAACTTTCTGTTGCTATATATTTGTCGTGTATTAATAAATCACTGTTCGGACAGTTCATTTCCTCGTATTTCCCAAATGAAAGAGATATTTTGCAGTCTATAAAACTTCAAAACTTTCTGCATTGCTACTCATTGATTCTCATTCTAGCCGTCCAATAACGGAGGTTTGCCTACTCTAATTTAACATACTGCCCAATAATCCTGTTTGTCCTGAGCCTCCAATTATCTCTTGTTGAACTTTGTCACTTCCTGAAATTATAACACATATTTGAAATATGTTCTATTAGAAATATTAGAATCACAACTGAAGAGAAGTTCTCCCGGTGTCCTCAGCAAAAGCTGCAATTTATATACAAACGGGAAGAAACCTGTTGGCGTCTCTCCTCAGTGTAAAGCAAGTACAATTTCTTTTCTCTTGTAAATTAATGCGTGGTACTGTACGAATAGATAAACATTGTTATTCGTAACCCACTCCATTGCTTCAGTCATTTTTCGTTAATTACTAGTAGGAATCCAGATTAATTATTTTATTCTCAAAATTTTGCTGTCTGAAAAATATGTGATTGCCTTTTGCAATTTCTCTCTCCTTTTTTTGTTTTTAACTCGCGATACTGAATTAAACAAACCGTACATAGCGTGAAAAATCACAGATTATCGAGTTATTTTTAATCCGCTTTTTAATGGATCTTTCATTCACTTTTCCAGAAGCATACAACGCAGTGCTCTGCTTATTAGTGAAAGAAAGTGAGTCACTTATAAATAATACTAAAGAATATATTCATTCATTTTATTTTCTCAAAAGAAGCACTTTACAGTTCTGGAGCTTTCCACAAAAGTACTTACTTATACAGTTCTTTTCAGTGTAACAGGGCACAATCAGTAGTTACCACTTCAAACTACTAAGAACTTTAAACACAACGCAATGCAAAGGACATCTTAAGAGCGAAAGCTCGCACCGTTGATCGTGGCTTTGAAACAGGCATGCAAGCGGTTGGTTTTTACCTGAAATTGGTAAAAGCTGTCGGCCATTGGCTTTGTGTATACGTAAGCTCAAAGCACCGCCGTAATCGGCGAAAAAATTAAATTCTGTGGCCCATTACTGTGGCTACCATAGCATTTTACTCTTCGATTTTATCGCAGAAGTAAACGCTAGTCCGGCTGTTGGTTTTCCGATAGGCAGATAGGAGATTTACTATAGTTTTTCAGCTAGTAGCCATAGGAAACATCAAACGGAGAGATGCAAGAGTCCTTGCAGGCAGATAGAAGATTTACTATAGTGTGTCAGCTTGAAGTCTTTGATATACACATCAGAGGGTCAATGGAATAAGAATGCAGATGACGTGCAGTACAGTTTAGATACTAAAATAAGATATAAAATATACACAACATATACAGGTTCAGTAGCAATGCAGATTAATATACAGCATTGTGATGAATTGTGCGTCGTCATTTAAAATTATTTTTAATAGTAGGATCATAGCTAACTGAGCAATATGGGCATAATTAGAGTTTATAATTTTCCTAAAGAAGTTGTTAGAACTTGCAAGAATAAATTTTGTGCATGCGGAATTTCAAGATCTTGGTGGAGTCGCTGATTTCGCAGAAACCACAGTGCGTTAGTAATTGCTATCAGGATTTTATTTTGGGAAATTATGATTTTGTTACTGTAAATCTTGAGGCTGTTGCCCATACGGGGACTGCGTACGTAGATTTCTCAATACTCCAAAGCCTGAGCTGAAAAAACTGAGAACCGATGCTTTCTACAGTCTCATATAGTTTTCTCCTGGCCGTCGAGAAATTTCCAGTCTTTTCCATTTCTCGAAATTATTGGAAGGCATGTACCGTTTAAGTTACATATAAGAGACGGTTACAGTTACATATGGGAATCAATTACAGTACTATTTACATTTGTACTGAGACCGGACCAAATTATCGCCAAGTTGGGCCACTTTTACCGTTTTCTTCCCACATTTGGCAACAAAAATTAGTCGCCAAAATCACTGTCCTGTTAGCGAGCAATTTACCTGAGTGTTAAATATACTGGCCATTGTAATCTTATTTTTTCGTTAGAGCTTCGTCTCTTGAGGCATTTCATGTTACATTACACAAGAGAGATACTACGGATCTGCATCAAGAATGAAACCTACTGTTAATAATGAAATTCTCTCTCTCTCACTACATAAAAAAATGAAAGCTAGCGGTAGTAAAATTTTGTAGCAGCAGACAGATTACAGTTGTTTGTTTTATATTTTGTGGTAGCTCCTTTCGTCAGTAAGGAAGTTTTTAACGACATGCTATTTTTGTTGCCCAAATGTTCACCGCTCAGTAGGTTAGGAACGATGCTTTTAAGAGTTAGGTTAGGGTTGTTGCACATCTCTAAGCAGCTGGTAACATATCTTTCCTGTAGTGGGAGGAAATCTTCAGTCACTGGACACAACCCTCTTGGAAGAAAAAGAAGTAATGTTTCTAATTCGTTTACATAATAAGATTTACTTCGGAGCTCTTCCCGGAAAAGTATTATTTCGAAATATCTATCATCTTTAGGTGTACACGAAAGATAAATTCAGAGCACATAGCTAAATATATTTTAGCTATTAAGTACTCGTTTGCTTCGAGACAAAATTTTGTCTCTTCTCTCATTTAAATACGTTCATTGTCGATTACCAAAATGTCTAAATTTTGCTATCAAGCTAAAAAAGAACATTAGAAATATATGTCTGGCAGCACAACTACTTTTATGGTAAGCGGTTTTTTATACATTTCCGAAACATAAATTTTATTCTTATCTCAGCGTAGTATTTATCTTTTAGGCTTGTTTGTGACATGGTACATTTGAAATGATACATTACGATGCCTGTTTATAGTAATTTTTTTCATTTTTTTTTTTATGCGCAACTAGAAATGTCTCCGCACCGCGCGCTGTTCCGTCTCATTTGATATTATTCATTGCGTGCGGGTTAAGTTTGTTTATTCGTTTGTTTAACTGTGAAAGCGTTAAATTTAGAAACAAATTTAATAGTTCTTGAAAGCGATTTATTACGAAAGAAGTTGTCAGAAATGTACGATAGGATGTTAGCGGTAGTAAGGTGCTTAATTTATTTTAAGGAGTTTGTGGTAAAAAATGAAGGGATTAACTTAATGAGAAAAATCAAGCGAGCAAATTTCACATGCAGTGAAAAAGTGTTTTTAAAATGATTAAGCAAATTTAATAATGCACATTTCTGTATTTTTTTAAACCGTTTAGTTATAAAACCTGTTTCTCGAATTCTAATAGATTATTTACCTAAATCTCCTCGTCTTTGTTATTATTATTATTATTTTACTTCATTATTCAGTGAATCTTTGTAATTTGCATTTTATATTAATGACCAAGGAAGTGTTAGAAATTAAATGAGTAGCAAATTATCTCTCTGTTGCATTAAAAACTGCACTCTAATCTTGGGATAACTGATAGCTTAAGAATGTTAAGGTTAAATCTATAATAATGAATAGCTATATTTGCCTTTAAAATGAAATCTCTAAATAGAGGAATACATAGTAAATATTTGAATGTATTCCTAAAGCATAAAAATGTGAAAGTCGCAAAATTATATAAAAGTCTCGAAATACTTTTAAGTGGGAAATCAAGGCTTAAGTAACATAATTAAATCCCAAGATCATAGAGAAAATCTTACAGCTACAAAAAAGATATATATATATATATATATATATATAATATATATATATATACCGCATTTCTATTTTTAATATTCTTCTTTAATGACTCCGACAGCCATGATTGGCATTTTCTATAAGGCGACCAGTTCCGCTACCAGAAGGTTGACTTTGTAAGAAGTATATGAGAAGATTACGAACAGTACTTTTTTTTTCCCCTTCCTTTCTTACAAATATTGTTCAGTAGCAGTTTGCTTAGGGAGCGGGAGAAGAAAAAACAGATTTTATTGGTTGAAATTCTGGTTCAATTATTGTGAATATTGGTTCAGGTATTCCTTCTGTGAGTTTTTCTAAATGTTCTGCAGTTATTATATTTTATTATTTTGCTCTTTCAAGTATGAAAATTCATTTAAGGTATCCGGAGTTTTTTTTTTTTTTTTTTTTTTCCTCCCAAATAGGAATGTATTTAGTTTTCTTAGCATATAAACTTTTATCATTTGCTGAAATAATTAGCTGTTTGATATTATACTGAAAGCGTAATGTACTCCTATGTTCGAAAAGTTCGCAGAAAAGTCATATCTCGTGGTTGAAACGTGCAGTATTTGAATTTGGCTATTGGAGATCATTAGTGTGCTCACTACAGAAGACAGTGTAATTCGACTACACTTCAAATGGAATTAAAACGTCTTCCGTCCTTTAAACGCGATATCCATTTTAAGCAAAGAAGCTTGAGTTTCTTTGATCATAAAAAGATCGATCTGCCTTGCCAGAAGCACCTTATTTGCTAAATTTCTCACCTTCTGACTCTTCTGGTTTAGCAACATGGTTCTATGGAGTCAGGGTTTTCAGATGATTCAAACTATCCAAAATAATGTGACCAACAATTTATGACAGATACCAAAAAATATATTCTCTCAGTGTTTCCAGGAGTGCAAGATAATGTTAGGATAAATGGATATATTTTGATGGATATTGTTTCGAAGATGATGATTATGTCATAATCTTTTAATTTTCAAACAGAACTGCGCCGCCAGACCTATCTGTGAAACTTCGGAACATAGGATTATGTAGTTAATCTTTAAAATGCTTTAATACCCATTTCTTTTTTCTTTTTTATGTGCACTTACTTTATCATGGTAATTATTCACTCATTAATTATGTCTTTATTTCATTTTCAGAAGAGTTTATTTGCTGCTAACTAGAGCTGAATCCTAAGGGCGAAATGCAGTTACGTCGGAGAATCAAGTTGTCAATATCTCCTCTTCTGTTACTTTTCCTTTTTGTTCCACCAACAGTTATGCCTCAACAAGACCTCGAGGACGAGAATTTTGCTGTGTTCGAAGATCCGATGACAGAGAGATTCAATCACTTGACTGTTCACGATTACACCGAGAAGGTATACATTGGAGCCGTGAATAGAATTTATCAGCTTTCTCGCGATCTCAGGTTAGAGGCTGTTGCTGTTATGGGCCCTCAAGAGGACAGTCCGAAGTGCCCTGTCACAAGGATATGCCCGAATGAAGCTAAACGACCTACAGAATATTATAATAAGGCATTAGTCATTGACTATCCGCAGAGTCGGTTAATTGCCTGTGGAAGTCTTTTTCAAGGGATCTGCACCGTGCACAATCTCAACGACGTCACGAATTTTGTCACGCCTGCCAATGAATCAGTTGTGGCTAATAATTCTACGGCTTCCACAGTGGCCTTCATAGCTCAAGGGCCGAAGAGCTTACCACGGATGCATGTACTTTATGTGGGTGTGTCGTACACTGGTAATGGACCATACCGTTCTGATGTACCAGCAGTCAGCAGTCGAAGTCTTGATCCCAATAATATGTTTGCTATAGCACACACTGGCGTTACTACTGGCACCAAAGTACTGGTGAACAGTATGTCTAGAGAAATCTATCCCATTACTTATGTATACGGGTTCAGCTCTAAGGGCTTCTCTTACTTCGTGACAGTTCAAAAGAAATTTACAGACCCACCGAAACCTTTCATATCAAAGCTTGTTCGCATTTGCCACGAAGATGTACATTATTATTCATACACGGAAGTTCCATTAGTCTGCCGTGCTCCTGATGGCACCGATTATAATTTAGCACAAGCTGCGTATGTGGGAAGGCCTGGATCAGAACTCGCAGTCTCACTAGGCATTGCAGCTCAAGATGATGTCCTCTTTGCAGTATTTGCAAAGTCAAAGGATGAATCTGATATCTATAATAAGCCAAGTCCTAATTCTGCATTGTGTGTCTATGCTTTGTCTGCAGTACACCGAAAGTTCACCCAAAATATACAACACTGCTTCAATGGCTTTGGAGACAGAGGCCTTGATTTCATCAATCCAAGTCAAAACTGCATGGTTACGGTAAGTGCTTTAAATTCATTTCTCTAAAGTACTTTTAGCACTTTAATTAACTGTTTTGTTAGATTTCATGTTTTTTAGGGTTTCTGGAATTATGTTTATCCTGTCATATCGATCATTTAGGCATAATCATACTTTTATATCCATTCACGAGGAAGGAATAAATATTCTTTGCTTAAAATGCTTTCCGCTTAGCACTAAAAATGGCAAATGAAAAATAGCAGAAATGATGTTCCGCGGGAAGATTTCTGTTAATATTAAAAAAATTGCATTTAAAACTACAAGAGCGCTGAAAAATAATATCAAGCCTTTCATTAGCTTTAATTTTAATATTATTCTTGGAAAACATTCGAGACTCTTGTGGAAAGATCATCTTTCAAAAACATTAAAGCTGAAACGAATAATAACGAAAATTATAAACTACTTCACTTTTTTGGTATTATTCGAAACTTTAGCCTCTCTCTCTCTTTTTTTAACTGCCGCGATTAATTAGCTTTATCTGTAAACGGTGTTAGAGAAGTTTTTCTTGCCCCCTTAAAAGTCATGAAGATATTGTGAGAGTTTTTCGTTCAGGCTTTTTCGGTTTGGGAGGGGAACTTCGTTTTGTTATACACATATTATTTGTATGTTGAATTATTGTTACATTATTATTTGTATGTTAATTATTGATTGTAATTCTTGTATTAAAGGACAGTAAGACGGTTAAAGTATACAATATTCCATTTTAGTATTCTAAGGTATATATGTATATATATATTATTGGTTTTTATGATGTCAGCCTAAGTTGCAATGGATTCAAGTTTGGCTCATGTTTTCTACCACCACGATTTTATACACATATTTCTTAAGCGAAAAGGAAATGTATGCTGGTGTTAATTTGTTTTATGTTAACGAAAGCATTTATCAGAGAGACCGCTAATTAAGGATTACGCATTAAAAATGTTGCTAAAGTAAGACGGGGCTTAGTATACAATAAATATAAGGTAGCTTCAACTGGAGAATTTTCTGGATTAAAAACGAAACTATGGAGTCTAATTAAAACCGAAATGTTTATCTTAGGATATGTAAAGATCTTGTTCTATATAGTGTTAAATAACCTTAAACGCATATTCGCTTAGAGAACTCTGAATTTCTAGTGATATTTATAAAATTATATTAAGTGTCAATTGGATCGTTTCAGCGAATGTTTCTTTTTTTCAAAGGCATTTCTTATACGCTTCTGTGTCTAAGAAATGCCTTTGAAAAAAGAAACGTAGTAAAGTTAGCTATTTTTAGTGCAGTAGTAAAGTTACCTATTTTAAACTCCTTTAATGCACTTGTTAGCAGAATATTTAAAAAAAAAAAAAAAAACTGAGAATTAAAACTGAAATAAAAAGAGGAAAGAGAGTTAAATTAAACAAATAAATAATTCAGATAACCGTTAAATGTCCTTTGATTTGAAGAGTATGGCATTACCCTTGAATTATGGAGAGCAAATTAATATCTGGCTGTGCAAATACTAAAAGTGCTAACTGAAATCTTGTAACTTCACATATGGTATGCTCCGATCACATAACAGTTCAAAATATGATAAATACAAATTTGGTTATTATTTTGACCTCTGATTTTTCGAAGAAAATGTTCCGTTAAACCTCTTACGCAACATAGGAAAATATAATATCGAAATACATATTAGAAATAAAGTGCAGGAGAAAGTATGTGTTTTGTTATACCAACTTTCCCTCGCTATTTTACTTATTTACCCATCTGAAAAATTCATGCGCGGAATAGCGGACGCAACATATAATACTTTTAGTATTTAGTTCAGAAAAACATCCTGAAGTTCTAACGTAACAAATTCTTTTTCTTCAAATTTGAAAATCTCCCTTCTTCCCTTTTTGGTATGCAAACGTGTTTTGTTTCCAACCGCACATATACATATGTGCGTATATTATTCACACATAGAGAAATCAGCTTTTTGACATGCCAATTAGTTTTTAAAGAAAGCTGAACCGCACAATAGCTTTCGCTAAGAATTTGATGTGACAGTAAGGACACTAATAACGGTATATAAAACGCCAGGTATAATAATTTAATTGTATAGTAAAAAAAAAGTTAAGGGCTTTAATTTCGCTTATTTTTATTATTCCTAATTTAATTCGGGGATCTAAAGGAAGTACAGAGCTTCTTTCTTCTGCCGCTGAGTTTAAGGAGGGGAGTCTTCTCAAGTAGACTTGCGAAAGTTGTAGTTCGGATTCTGATTAAAAGTCTAGGCAAAAAATGTTTGGTGAGTATAGGAAAAAAATACATATATTGAGCTGAGGCGAACTTATGTTATAACTATGAACTATGCGCCTAATTCTGTGTTGCAGTGAAGAGTCGTATTAACGTTTCTTTCTATTAGATTTCAGCTTCCCAATTTGGGGGAAAAGGGGCTTTTTTTTTTTTTTTTTTTTTCTTCTTTCTCAGTGTTTCCTTATCATTGCAACTATGATATGTTAGATGCCTTTTGAATTCCAGGTGCTGACAGGAAATGTTTCAAAACTTTAAATATTTATTGCACTTGAATTAATAATTGAAAATAATAATGATTGAAATTTGAAACATTTGAAATTAATAATTGAAACTCGTCCCGAAATAGGGAAACGCAATAGTAACAATTAAAAAATTTCTTAAAACATTTATAACATTGAATTTTCTCTCAAATCTGTCACAGCAGCCGCATTGAAAGGACACGCTGATTGAACTTACTGGATATCGTAGGTTTATAATAAATTTGTCTGAAGTGTGTCATTTCAAAATTAATATCTACCACACGATTCTTATACAACACAAATGAACGCACTTACCGAACGGCAAAAATGAAAAACAAATCTTCTATCCCAATATCGTTCAACCAAATCCTTTAATTAACTAATACTAATAAAATTATAGATGTCTCTACATGGAGTAGTGTGTGCACTCGTCCCTGAACTTGTATTACTTTACGTTGTTTTATTATCTTACTTTAATTAGACTTAAAATAATATCATGTCTAATAGTACATGATTTGCCTGTTACTGAAGAAAAATTCTTCAACAGCACTATTTTTATTCTTCTTATGCCATCACCTAAATCGGTTATTACATGTATATATGCATACTTGGACACATGCATAAACATGTAAAAAATATTTTGGATAAAAACTTTGAATCTACCGTATAGTAAATCATTCTTCATTAGCAAAAACTGGGCGATTTTCAAGATGCTGAAAAATTTCAGGGATAGATAGTTCGTGGTCAGTTTTTAATAGAAACTGATAATGAACCTAGAGAGTTACAGCTTGAGATTATAGATCTGCAGTGTGATACTGGTTTAAGAACATTTCACAGTCGTGAAGAAATAGGCAAATTTTGTAGCATTCTTAATTCTTACAGTTACGGCACCAAATGTTAGAATATATTAAATTTTAATCTCTTTTATCGGTATCAAATTGTAGAAGATATAATAATGATGGAATGGGTTTGAATAAATAAATACATTTAGGTAAACTTGGAATAATAATTCATCACGTTGTGTTAGTGCTATGACCGAGTGATATTGATATTTTAAGAATAATATTTCTTTATTAAATGCTAGAGGCTAGAATAATATTTCTATTTATTCTTTATACTGTATTGTGCCAAGAAGAAAAACGGCGTATCACGTATGAACTTTTATTTACTCGTAGCTAGTGGTAGATTCCAGTTTTCAGATTGAAAGTTCTGTAATGCAGCTTCAAACTACAGATGTTTAAGATGCCATCTTAGTCAATCCTCACAATTACTCTTATTATCGCTCTTGAAGAAGGAACTATCAAAGAAGAGATGTTTTGGGTAAATTCCCCCGGTTATTTTTTAACAACTAGAAGAATATTCTTTAGCTGAGAAAAAAAAAGCTTGATCACAGTCGTCGATGCTTAGGAGAAAAAATTGGCGAGCACGTGCTAGCTGCATAATATTTCAAATCTGGTGGAGAAATGTTCCCTAGAGTAGGTTGAAAATTTACTTAAAGAATAGTTATACTCTTTATTTTTCTTTCAGACTTTTACTCCACATCCTTCCTTGAATAAAATTTCGATGCATCTTTTGTCGATTTTGATCGGAGAAGTTGGTTATGTTTTGATCAATCTATATGTGACAACAAAAATTTTAAATCGTGAGTCTCAAAAATTAATATTATAAAATTGCAATTAGCATTACAATTAATATTATAAATCTCCAGATCAAAATTAACAAGTAAATACAATAATCTATAAAAAAATGAAAGGTGCAAAGCATCATCATTCGTCTTATTAAATTGTGTGTTGTTTGAAATTTCTTTCTTTCTATCTTTTTTAAATTTTTTATGTTAGAATTTAATTTTCTTGAAAATAACAATTTATATCTAAAGTACTGTTTTATTTGTGGCTTTTTGGACCAAAACTCTTGCCCGGAGCTCCAATTAAACCCTACGTGTACTATCATACTAATAAGTTTACTTAAATATCACTACGAAATATTATAAAAACTCAGGGGTAAAAAAGGGTTTAACTGAAGTAACTGTTACAAAAATTATCGAATCCTGTTGTGGTAGATCTGACGTTCTTGAGAAGTATTTGCCGATAGAGAGCCTCTTCCACCGTTACGAGTTATCGGCGAGTTCTAATAGCTTTAGTGCGTGGGCATCGGTTTATCGATATATCCTCCCAAGTACCTCCGGGGAACATTATACGATCTGTTTATGAAATATATAAACGCACTATCATAAAAATGTAAAATACTTTTGAGGGCGGAGATAATGCCACAATAATACTTTTTGAGAAAGAGCGGGTGAAATTTCTCGGAGTATGCAGATGTTGTGAATCAATTTATCTTGGAGCTTTATTAAAAAGGTTACCATATCTTGCTCTTTGCTTCAAACTACCGGGGTGCTTACGATCCTTTTAAAGCCACACGTGTTTCCTACTGGAAAACCTTTAATGGATTTCGCAAACAGCTTCAAGAAGGAAAATGTTTCCTGCTGGG